TAATAGATTAGAGCTTCAGCTGTTTATCCTCATTGTCAATTTTATCATTACAGTACAGTATATTCTGATGGTAAATATCTCAAAAGGATCTCAATTGGTTGTTTAAATACATTATCATTTATTGTCATTTTAATATAATCAATTAGTTTGTGTGTATCTATATTTAAAGGCACTCGTGTCACTTTATACTCATAATTGCGAGGGTAAATAATGAAAGAACAGTAAAGTTTAGTGAGTCAGTATAGCACGAGTGTTAGGGGAAACGGTCGTCAAGTCAGAACTGCGAGAACCAGCAAGGACACGACGAAACTCGGTCGAGGTTATGTTCGTCTGTCGGTCTCTTTAAAGTCGAGGAAATCACATTTTGTGGAAGTAATTTTGTCATGTGAACGCTAGGTAACCAAGGAATATCCTCTTTACCCGTGCCTTTATCCATCACACGTCTGTAACTTTCATCATTCACACCTCCACGTCCGATCACTCGCCCAAATCCCGTCACCAATAGGCAGATCATTTTATTACAGAACACCCCTTAAAGTTCCTAGCGGTAAGACCAGTCATGCGCTGTGGCCGTGCTCGTGCTTACAGTGCTCGTTATGCCCGACCCGCCTCGTTTCCTGGAGTTCAGTTTGTGGCACCGTAGAATTTTTTGTCGCGTACGACAGTCTTCTGTGTGTGTTGTATTTTTTACCCCCGAGTTATATAGAGAAGTATTTAGACACTGACCTTACTTTCTTTGGCTGCCCGAGACTAGCGTGCTCACGAGAGAGAGAGAGAGAGATTTTTGCATGGCCCGAGGGAGAACTCTCGATAATTTCTCAGGTGTTTTTCTCCCCATGATTCCTAGGAAGAAGATTTGTGTACTGCATCTGCCTACACCATTTTTTCAGGTGCGGCGATTGAAACACGAGTACGGTCACTCGTCCAGGCAAATTGAAAGTAAAGAAATGACATCAGCGGAAGCATTTCACTTGAACGTGTGAAGAACCGGAGTGGTTTTGCCACGTGCAGCCCGATAGCCCAAAGAAACTTAACGAACTTGGATTTTATGTGATTAGTTTTAGTATCACAGAACCAGTAGTTGAGGAAGGATGAAGTCGGTTTATCATCACAATAAACTTCAACGTACAGTAGTAGTAGTAGTAGTAGTAGTAGAAAGACTATGGTTCCCATCTTTAGTTAATAGCCCGAGAGAATAATTTCTGTATACCTTAATCCTTCCATCCAAAGTACCCCGACCCTCTTGGAAATCCGTTTTTATTGTTATTTTATTTTGACGTTGGCTGATTTTGACCCGAGATCCCGATCCCCCGTGCTTTAACTATCGAAATCAAGATCGTTGCGAGGGCCATCAAATGAGCATCGAGATTGACGGCATAGACGGAAAAGTAGTCGTGGAATATCGGCGGCGTCGCATTAACGATTCTCTAAAAGCGCATTTATCCCGTCCCTCTCGGTGTGCCAGTCTCGCCGCCGAACTCGGTCTCGGCAAACCGTCCCCAGATGGCGAATGGAACCTTCGGGTTGTTCCCTACCGTTCATTGCTCGAAGCTCTTTCCCGACACGAGCTTCATCGCCAGTAGATGCCCTCGTGTGTACAGAGGCACTTTATTTAATGTTAAGGTATCCCGTGATATTTATCTAAAAGTTACCACACACTTTAGAAAATATAAAAGTCAGACAAAATAAAGTAAGGCGAGTAGCATATATGGGACATTATCTCGGTATCTAAATTATATATCTGTACTGTACTATTTTTCACCACTTATTAGCTTAATAACCATTCAAGTCATTGATATGTTTATTGTTACAACCTCCAATGCCCAGTGTCAGGTCTGAGTAAATGTGAAGGCATGTTATGGTGCAGGATCCTTCTGTTATTGGGGAATTCTGGTTGACTTCTCTTAGTTTTCAATACATGGAAATAACAGTTCTTAGTAAGCCTCTCCCTTATAGATTCATCACATTTCCTGTGCTGTAAAATTACTTTCATTTCGCACCTCGCCAGCCTTTGGAGCAATCGGTCTTACCTCCGTTACGAACTCGGTTTCTCCGTTCGGGCTAAAACCTCCTGCACGAGAAATAAACTTGACCTCGGTGGGATTATTGGGTTATGGGGCGAGTCGATGCCGACGACGAACCACTGTACCGGCAACGCTAACATCTGCCCGTTGTGCACGTACCGAGTCCTCGTAATTCGTCGACGCAGTCGGACATACGTTCTAAACTGTTTTTCGAGCATATTCTTATATCATTGATAGTTCCCCAATTATGAATTCAATCTCACTACTTACTAAATTATCTTTATGTTTACTATTTTTTATATACAGTTGGCATAAAGAAAATATTACCCACTACCTCGAGGAGATGCCAAACATGTCCATCGGCCACACGTTCTCTCGCTTCCGATGCAAACTGTACGTAGATGGGGAGAGAGAGAAGGAATGATATCTAGAGAGAGGAAGACCAAGAGGGTGGATGGGGTGAAGAACACATTCAGGAAACAGCAGCGTGTGTGTGTCAGTGTGATTGGACAGCCCGGGGGGGGAGGAAACTCGTCGGTAAACTATTTTTTACGGCAGTGCGAACGGACGAGGAGAAATACGTCCGTTTAATTACTCTTGCCTCGGACCAGGAAGAGTTACAATTGATAAAGTTTGGTTGAGTAAAATTATGTAATATTTTCAAGTGAGAATGAATAGAAGTAAATGCCATAGAGCTATTGAATTACCCTGCATATTAGGTTAGGTTATGAAGTTGAAACAAAAAACGTAAATGACATTCGAATGTTTATTGACAACCCTTAACTATTTTCACGGTTTCAAAATTACCGTCATTTTATAAACACGAAATAAGTGTGTGGAGCAAAGATTTAGTTCTGACAGGCGCGGAGTGGGGTTATAATTACGAAAGCGTAATCGCGGCGGCTTCGATCACGGCACGGAGAATTCGACGGACGTGCGGGTAAGCGTAACGTGGCGCAGAGACAGTCTGTGAGGCGAATTAGTGTCCCCAAGAAGCTTAATGGCCAAAAATGATTTAACATGCAATTGAGAATAACATATTAGGACCAGGTTACTGGGATTGAGCCCCAATTCTCATGGTTAGCTCTGACCGGGGTCTGTTTAAGAGTGGGACCAATATCGGTCTCGGCATCACACAACCGCCACACGCCGGGCTCGCCCCGTTGTGCGGTCACTCGGCGCATGCGCGTTTGACCTAACCTCGAGGGTGCAGCGCCTTCAAATCCTTTTGCGTTTTCACTCGACCGAGTCGTAGCGATCCGATTTGTGAAACCGCCGAAGCAAAACTTTAATGAGCTTTATAAAATGAAAAATGGATGTGAAAATTGTGAATATGAGTATTACATAAAAAGACTAATAATTACGGTGCGACAGATTGCTCGGATCACTCAAAGATACGCTCGCCCAGTTTATTTCGTCTGAAGATTTTCCACCCCAGTGCTACCCGGTGGGGTTAGATTAGACGAGTGTTAGGGCGGTCGATCTTAAGGCGAAATAAGATGGGAAGGCGTGAATCTTCGGGTAACCCGGTCGCTTTTCTTAATATCTAATGCGTTTGCTTGTCTGTCGTGTGCGAGTATTTTGAGTTCACTTGAATTAAATGTTCCGGCTTATTTGGGTCACCTTGCCTCTGCTTTTGAGCCCGGATTAACAAGGCATCTCCCATTGCCCGGGTAGCTCGTACAATAACTCCCCTTTTCAATCTGCATATAATCGTCTCCTGGGATGTGTTTGAAGTCTCAAAACAACCCGATTCTATTGCTGGCAAGTTCTACCGAAGTAACGCCTTGCATCTTCAACTTGAGAACTTTTTTTTTAAATTCCTCTCCACTCCCTTAATTCATCTTTTTATCTTTACGTAACCATGTGCTGTCCACTCCCTACCACGCCCCCTCTCCCCCAACCCCCGCTGACGTTTGCCGTCACGCCCCCTCACCCGCGTTAGTTGGGGTGTGGTTATTCTTGCTGGTCGCTAAGGTTATGTAGGGCTGGCCAGGGGCAATGGCTGCCTTACCCTCACCCACCACCGCCATCGCCGTCTACCGCACTCGGGAGCAGCCATTACCACCGTAAGTGAGGTCACCATAAACGGATTTCCCTACAGCAGCCTCTGTGATAATATTTATACATATATATTTAAACCCTTGAGCATTACAACTATCGTAGCTGGCTGTCAGTGTATACCATTCGTTTTTGTCTTTCTCTCTCTCTCTCTCTCTCTCTTTCTTGCTCTGTCTTCTAAATACCATGTGGGCAGGAAGGTTCTACATGTTTCAAATGTCTCTTATTTATTCAGTGTGTTCAAGTACAATAACCTACTGTGGTCTCTTTAAGGACACTCTTTTCTTTGTAAGATGTAACTTAAGGTGGCAAGAGTTATTCAATAGTTCGTGGTACAGTACAATAATATTTACTAAAACAAAAAAATAACATCAGATAATAAGCAACCATTCTCGCTCCATTACAAACAACAAGAAATACCAACTAAAATTTCCATTGTAAAACTATCAATAATTTGAATATTTTCGTATGGTTTCCAGAATTGTCAATAACGTACATTTTTGTTTAGACCCAAAATTCAATAATATATAACTCGTTAAGATTACACAAAGTCAATTATTGAAATTATATTCATATGGACTAAAAGTAAATGTAATTTTTACACTGATTGGTTCAAAACTTTTTATATAAGAAATTAAATTATTGGCACTATGAAATTAGCAGATGTACAATTTGCCAACCAATACAGTCGGACCATTAAATTCAAGTTACGTACAATAAAATAGCCGACCAAGTTTCTGTTGCGTAACACGAGCGAGATTGGGAGACGAGCTCACCACCGTCGATCAAAGAGCCAAAGTCGGCAATACTCGGGTGCCGACCAAGAAAGATCGGTTCACGGAGTATTTGGGCTGACGGGACTTTGGCGGTAGTGGTGAGCGGTAGCGGTCGTAGCTGACACTGTCGTACCTTCAGGCGCCTCTCCCGACGAAGAAAAGGCGAATGGAGGGATTGGAATCGGCATCATCATCCTCATTGTGGTCATCGCTCTGTTAATCATTGCTCTGGTGATTGATGTGACCTGCTTCTGTGTAAACAATGCCGGTTGTATTGCCTTCATCTGTGGTAAGCGTGACTCCAAGGATAAGGACAAAGAAGCAATGTTGGAAGATGGAAAGAATACCAGGTAAGTTACCCCAATTACATTTTCTCTGAGCTTCCCATTTTCTACGATAGCTAAACGTAGACTATTGTGTTAGTGAGCTTAGATGCTTGTGTAAATATTTATTGTATACACCAGTGATATTTTGTTGTCAATAGCTTTCTATCCTGTAAAGATACAGTACTTCACTTGTGCTTTATAAAGTAGTGTAATACCTGTACAAGCAATCATGGTAGTGTGTCATCCTCTGTACAGGGTGTTGTTGGAAGGGTCCCTTAATGTTTGAGTTTATAAGAGTCTCTTGAAGGAGATAAAAGTCTTGAGTATAGATAATATTCAGGGCGGATCCAGTGAGGTGTCCTGGGGGTCTGGACACCCCCCCCCATTTCCTCAGAAAATTCCAAGACATTCAGTAATACTGTATTGTACTTGGACATTTTTATATAGCAAAAAGTAAATACTACTGATTTCAGAATATCTCCTAATATCAAGTGCACATAGCATTAGGCATGAAAATGCCCATGATATTGGTAAAATAAAAATAAAATAAAACATTCTTGGGGTGGGGGGGGGGTTGGGGGCTTACACTGCCCCCAAACCCCCACCCACAACTTCTTGGACCCCTATTTTACGATATTCCTGGATCCCCTGTATTCCACTGTTGTCTACCATGTTCAAATAAAATTATAGGGCATTTTAATATACTGTATATATATATATATATATATATATATATATATATATATATATATATATATATATATATATATATATATATATATATATATATATATATATATATATATATATATATATATATTAAAATAGTCCTATAAACTTACATTTATACTGTATGTATTTAAACAATGCAGATACACAATGGACCTAATAAAGGTACTGGTATATAAATAATGTACATACTCATACAAACAATGTACCTCCAGTGTTTTGGTAAGATCACTTCCTTCAGGGACTTTTCATAAACACAAACAAAAATGGCCCCTTACAACTGTTTCCCCTTGTACACTCTCCCTCTTCCACTCTTCTTAGTGCTGATACACTCAACGAAGAGTCCCGAGATGAAACCAAAACTATGGATGAAAAACCCATCCCCGAGAAGGAGGTCCAGAAATCCCCCGAGAAAAAAGTCGAAACTAAAATCGAGAAAGAGACGTAAGATCGAAGCTTCATTATTGGCTGCTCTATCACTGTGCATATTTTATCTTGCATTTAAGGGCACTTCAGTTAAAAATTAAACATATTATTTTTCTTCAATTAATTGGTCATTTTTTTGCATGGGTGATGAATGTCATTGTTTGTTAACATTTACAGTGAGTTTGAGTTTCATTTAAAGATTGTTTTAATGCTGTTTTTCGTCAGTTTTATGACGATTAAATGGTCAGAAATGCCCGAACGTGTGAATTATTTGTATTTGAGAAATGCGTCGCCTCCCTCCCTCTCCCCCCACCCGCCATTCAGTTTAATGCTTGTACTGTATTTTGTTTTGAATTTAATGAGAATGTTGGATGGCTTTCAGTGCAGTTACACATTTATTAAGGATCTAGATGAATATTTCTCGTAAGTGAAGACGTAAGATTGCACTCGACTAAATAACTTGAGCAAAGATACAAATATATCTTCCACATATAACAGAATATTAAGAATCTTTACTAATTTGATCAAATATAAGTTCATGAAGGATTAGATGAGGTACAAAATTAATATAGCGAACCATTTCCAACATCGTGCAAGTTAATGCGTATCTTCAAACTGGGATTAAATAAATAGTCTCTGTGTAATTATAACGATGTTTCAAGATGTAATATTTATGTTTTAGCTCAAGTTAGCGAGTCAGATACATTAATAATATCATTAAACTACGGGAAATATTTACCGCACTCTTGCGAATATCTGAGAATCTGCTGCGTCGCGGCCCAACGAACGATAAAACGCTCGTAGCGATACCCGTGAAGTAACGTCAACGTCGACTTAGGATTTCAAAACCACATCGAAGGAAAGAAATTCATACGATATCACGACAAAGCGTCTTCCCTTTATACGAGGTCGAGAAATAACAGCAAGTTTTGGTTAAGACGATGCTCGTGTTCATTGCTCTCTTCCCGCTAGCTTAAATCATTTCTCGAGTCACGCCGTGACGCGAATTAATCCGTCGAAGAAGTTCCACCCCTTCTCGGTGTCCTTAAGAATTATTTTAGTAGTGAGAAGTCAATGGATTGCTCAGTTAGTCATTCTGCCACATTGGTGAATTCATAAACATTGTTATTTTTAATGTTTGCGATGAATTTTTGTAAGGGAAAGCGTCCAGTTCACGAGAAAAGTTATGCGGTATTTTCTCGTTGCAGATAGAGTTTAGTTGAGAATTTAGAGAAACGTTTCACTTAATCAACAGTCAGTCAAGTACAATTATTGAGATCGCCAGAAATGGGTGGACCTCAGTCGATAAGGGCAGTTAAGTTTTCTGACTGTTGCTCGGTTAATATTTTGTTCTGCATCATTCTTAAATATAAATTCACCCGAGACCCGTCAACGAACAAGCGGGAGGACTCGTACCTGCCCGAAGGATTTTAAATAACCTCCGGCAATTCATTAATGCCCCAAACTAACGCTACGTGGGTGGGCCTCGCTTATTATTATAACTGTCATCATATTAAAATATCCTACTTGAATCTTCAGTCTCTGGTGAATTTGGTTAACATTCATTGTTTGAGAAAATTACTATTAATATGTACAATATAAAATTTCCACAAATACTTAGTATCAAAAATTTTGCAGGATTTACCATTTTTGAAAATTTTTGTATAGGTAAATGATTAGGCTATGGTTTATTGTCCCTCATAATAGCGAAAAGAAATTTATTAACATTAGAGACGGGAATGACGGAAGTCGACAACATTACCGAAGCAGATCTTTTTATTTCTGTATTTATCGTACAGTACCGATAATCTTAAAGGTACCGTACGGTAAATGCAGCTCAGTAATTATACGCCAATTATCCACGCCGAAGTAGTTTGATGCTCGTTAAACGATGTGGGTATTTATTATTGTGCACTTTAAACCAAACTATAATTGTTTTTTGATATTGTACTGCATATTGGTACTGCATGTGAACGTTCTAACCTATAAATTCTGTCTCTCTCTCTCGTTCTCTTCTCACCTCACTACTTCCCCCCCCCGACTTAGCGATGACAAGCACGAGGGGAACGGTCAAATGAAACCTCAGAAGGACGAAGACACCAAAGAGGAACAACCGGAGTCCGAGGAGAAGACCAAGGATTCCACCGAACCCACGGAAACCACTCCCATGATTCAAGGGTAATTCAGTCTTCCTCCTCCCAGCATCCCTTAGTCTCCTGTCCCTCGTCTATGTGTCGTCCATTTGTCTCCATCTCTCGGTCTCCGTTTCCTTCGTCTATTTCTCCCGCGTTGCACGTTCTTCTTAAAGCTTAAATCACACACCTTATTGTATGGTACTGTATTATGCACGAATGGTGTTTCTTGTTCTTTAAAGTTAAAATAAAATCACGCCAGAATATTAAAGCCACGACGTTTGATCTCGCGTTTTGAACTCTTGATCTCGAGGAATTTTTGTTTAAAATGCTTGGAATCCTAAACCCATTGATATTAATATGGCTGGTTCTTCTGATAGTGCATGTTTAAAACTTCACAAATTTTGCATTAACAGTTCATAAAAGTAAAGAGACTTATTAATATCCCACTTATAATATGCATGCCAATTGTATTAATAACTGTTTTTATGTGTTTATTATCAACTAAGCCATTCTAATCTATAGGATATTTGTTTTTTACTCTTTTTGATCAAATTCTCTTGTAAATGTTATCAGGGATTATGGAACAGAGTTTTAATTAATGTACAATACCAACAACTTTTAAGGTTTCCCTTATTGAAACGGCATTATGAAGAATTTGATTGTTGTCAGACATATGCATGTTAAATCGTAATAATTTTACAATGAAGAGCATTCTGACCTTACCTTACCTCAGCTTACTTAGAATGTTTAAATGCCTAAGAAATCTCTCGCCATTGCCATAAGATACATATTGTCTGTCAGTTTATATGTAAGTTACTGATTTATGTGCAATATAAGTTAAAGATCACATGAAGATTAACCCCCCCAGCTTATTTCACCTCAAGATTAACCACCATATTAGTAAGTTAACCCAGCTTGACCGTTTAATTGAGGTAGTTTTAGGGCAGTGAATAGGTGAAATAAACAGAAGGGTAATTTTCTTGTGATTCCAAGTTTATGTATTGTATGTCAGGGAGATATTGTAATATAATGTGTGTGTGAGCCATCTATGTGTGTGTGTGTGTGTGTGTGTGTGTGTGTGTGTGTCATGTAAAAAATAAATTCTTTGTATGTGTTTTTATATACTTAGTAAAATATGATTGTTGATATTTAAAGAGCAAAAACTATGTGATTCTTCCAATTTGATATTTTAAACTAAAGAATTATATGTATTCTGTACATGTCAGATATACATACTGTAATTTCTATTTGATCTTGTTAGAAATTTATGATAGATTGTATTCATGGTTCATTTAATACTTAATATTTTCTATGTAATGTCTGTTTAGCAATGTACTGTATTTGTGGGTGTATTATAAATTATTTTATTTGTGGGTGTGTGATAAATTATTGTATTTGTGGGTGTGTGATAAATTATTGTATTTGTGGGTGTATGATAAATTATTGTATTTGTGGGTGTGTGATAAATTATTGTATTTGTGGGTGTATGATAAATTATTGTATTTTTGTATATTTGTGGGAGTATTATTGTATCACTCTATGACCCTGTGAAACAATATTTTTGCATTTGGTTATATTCAGTTTATTCAATGGTCATTATAGAAGTATTTTATTTAACTATTCAGTGATGATATTTTAAAAGTGAAGTCATGTATATATTGTATTGGTAAAAATTAATGTGAGTCATTACAGTTTTAGGTTCATTATGGAAGGTTTCAAAACACACACACAAACACATTCTTACTCACATATACTTTACTGTCATACATACATACATCTCATTCAAATTGGTTTGGTTAGGTTAGGTTAGGTTGGGTCCCAGTTGAGATAGTATTTATACAAAGAATATTAGAGAGAGAGAGAGAAAGAGAAAGCATTATTTTTGTCACATCTGGGCTTCGAATACACACACATTTTATAGCCGTCACATCCTGTCTTTAAAATAAGCAGTACTGGACAGATTAAACAACAGAAGCAGTACTGGACAGATTAGACAACAGAAGCAGTACTGGACAACATAAGCAGTACTGGACAGATTAGACAACATAAGCAGTACTAGACAGATTAGACAACAGAAGCAGTACTGGACAGATTAGACAACAGAAGCAGTACTGGACAGATTAGACAACAGAAGCAGTTTGGACAGATTAAACAATATATCCTGTAATTTTCCCTATGTAGGCTTTAACACTGAACAATTCATGGCAGTAGAAAGGCATAAATAAAACTAATGTCTTACCTGAAGATTACCCTCCCTCCCCCCCTCCCCAAACATATCTCACCCTGATATTAATTTCCCTAATGCTAACCTGACCTCTCCATCCCCCTCTCCTTAGGTAACATAAGGGTATATAACTATTAGGTGAAATTAAGTGTGGGGCTAATGTTCTCATGATCCAAACTGATGTGTTTGGTTAATTCCTTTGGCTATGTTGGTCTGTGTTATTTGGTAGTTACTTAACCAAGCGACCAGGGGTTAGTTTTGGGTTGGGTTAGGTTAGATTACAGTAGACCAGGTTGGGTTAGGTTATGTTAGGTTCACGTTAGCAGCCATCATAAACTACAGTATTTAACACGTTAGAATTCGTCATTCGAATTTCAAAGAGACACAAACCATATTTTTTTTCTCTCCATAGTAACAGTTTTATATTTTGTTGTATTTTGCTTACCAAATTTCAGGATGTTTCTACACAACCAAAATCAAGTTCATAACAGTCGGCAAAATGTACAGAAGCAACTGAACGAGGGACGTGAGAACGGGGAGAGGGATAGAGTACAGTTACTGAATGAGAGAAATTCAGAAAATCAGTTTTCACATCAGCTGACTGAGCCTAAACACTTAGAGATGATCCCTATCCAAGAGAATAATAAGAGAAGTAGAAATATACACTCGTCTCAGCCACAGATTGTACAGGTGTTTACCAAGAAGAAAACACCCGGAGATATTGCCCACGGAATAAACGGCCACCCGAGAAGTACGACGACGGCCGTCGAGAATCCCGTCTTAACGTACGGTCTCACGAAAAACAGCAAGAGTACGCCCGTTCTAGATACGTCCCTCTCGGAAGATTCCATCTACTCCCAGCCGTTACTCGAAAAAGTCGGTCGACGCGCAAATCGCCTCGACGAGAAACGCCAGCCTCCGCCGCCGCCGCCGCCACCCAGAAGAAACTCCAATACGGGGGTCTCAAATATGCAGAGATCGAGGAGTCAAGAGATCCTTTCCGAAAGTCGTCAAATGAATCGGAGAGAGGAGAGTCCCCGTCATGCGTCGGCCAGCGGAGAACCGCTGTATCAGGAAGCAGAAAGTCCGTACTATACGACACTAAGTCGAGAGGCGCCGGACCAAGGCCCCAGTAAGCCTTATTATTTATCAAAAAGTAGGGAAGCACTTCATCAAGAACCAGGAAATCCTTATTATATCTCAGCAAGTAGAGAGGCACTAAACCGAGGGTCGAGGAATCCTTACGGCTTGTCGGCTAGTAGAGAGGCCCTGAACCAGGCACCAAGAAGTCCTTATGGCTTGTCAGCAAGTAGGGAGGCCCTGAACCAGGCACCAAGAAGTTCATATGCCTTGTCAGCAAGTAGAGAGGCCCTGAACCAGGCACCAAGAAGTTCATATGCCTTGTCAGCAAGTAGGGAGGCCCTGAACCAGGCACCAAGAAGTTCATATGCCTTGTCAGCAAGTAGGGAGGCCCTGAACCAGGCACCAAGAAGTTCATATGCCTTGTCAGCAAGTAGGGGAGGCCCTGAACCAGGCCTGTTCATATGCCTTATCAGCAAGTAGGAGGCCTGAACCACCAAGTAAGTCTATATGCCTTGTCAGCAAGTAGGGAGGCCCTGAACCAGGCACCAAGAAGTTCATATGCCTTGTCAGCAAGTAGGGAGGCCCTGAACCAGGCACCAAGAAGTCCTTATGCCTTGTCAGCAAGTAGGGAGGCCCTGAACCAGGCACCAAGAAGTCCTTATTTGTTATCAGGAAGCAGGGAGGAACCGAATAAGGAGCCAAAGAGTCATTACGGTACGTCGGGAAACGAGGAAGCTCGGAATCGGAGACCGAGAGACATTCAAAACGCGAGTGAGCCGGCCAGGACGCCCAGCGAAAGTTCGTCGAGCACTCTGTATCAGCCGCTGAATACTTCCGGAAACCGAGACGACGCTCTGGTTGCATACGTAATTGCACCGTACGACGATCCACCCGGCACGAGAGCCATCGCCAAATGCCCTAATACTCCCGGCTTAGCAGAACAAAAGGAGGTGCCAACCGCGTCGCCTCGGGAATCGACCCTCTCGTCTTCGGCGCCCGCACACGGCAGAACGCCGCCGACCGCGCCATCGGCGCGACCGCCCAAAATACCCCCGGCACCCCCGCGGAAGCCGTCCGGTCCGCGGCCGTCGACGCCCGCAGAGGGGCCCTCGGCACGGAGAGCGAACGCGAGAAGACGTTCGCCGACGACAATTCACCCGAGAGAAAATCCAGGATTCCCGAATCGCAGTCGGAGCACGGACCAGCTCGACGGACCCCTCGACTCTTCTCCCTCGCCGGGACGGACGTCGTCCTTCGCCCCGTCGTCGATGAGCTCTGCAAAATCCCTGGGAAGTCTAACGGAAGCGTCCGCGTCTCTGCGGTCGTACGGTCAACCCACCCTCATCTAAACCCGTGCATGCTTCCCGGTAGGATTAGAATGGCTTACACATTCTGGATGATGTTGTGAAGTATAGTACGCCTTACAATTATGTATTACACCCATTGTTTTTTTTTCCACCTAAACTATTTTGAATATTTGGTTTATGAATCATTCTGTTGACATCAAATTGATCTGTAGTTGTGAGTTGTATATAACAGAGTATCCTCAAATAGAAATTTTTGGATAGGGTGTCAAGGACTTGTAATTTTCAGCCACTGCGCTGACGTGCCACTAATTTTACGGGGAACGAGAGGTGCGGGGCATCGCCGTAATTATTTTACGCAGGTCACTGATTCGCGTTACTATTTTTACAGGGAGAAGGACGACAAGGAGGCCATCTTGAAAGAGGAACAGAAGGAAAAAGAAGAGGAGAAGCTGAAGAAAAGTGAATCCAAGAGCAGTGTTACAAAGGACTCCCCAGTGTAAAGCCTGATACAGCACTAGTCTCATTAACAGTTTAAATACACCGGCGGGGAGACTTATTTTAGTTTCCTTCGCGTGTAACGAGAGAAAATAAATTACCGTAGAGAATTTTCGAAAACGGACCGTCGCGATGCGATTCGAACTAGAGAGATCGTCCGGGACATCGGCATCGCGACGACGTACGACCGAGGCGGCCAAAGAAATCGCAAGAGCGCATCGAGCCGTTCGCCCGGCAGAAAAGTTCGGCCGGTCTCCGCCGTCGTTCTGCGGCCGTCGCGCGGAACGGAAGCGCCTCGGGGAAGAGTCCTCGCGGGAGTTCCGACGCATTCCGTCACCGCGACGTCGACTGCACCTACGACGGAGAAGCCGAACTCCGGGCGGGCGTCGAGATCGCGACGGACCGCACCATTCCGGTACGTACGAGTCGCGCGAGAGAAATTTGCACGTTCCGGCGGCGAACGACGGTCCGCGATTCTCGCCGTGCGGCACCGGAGCGAAGTGCGTTTTTTATTTCCTTCCCTTATAAAATACCTGTACAGTATATATACTACTGTATATACATATATACATAACATATATATATGTATAATGAATATATATAGTATTGTATATATAAGTGATATACACTAGTAATTCTTATTCCTTTTAAATGCAAGTTATTTTGTACAAAAACTCTGTAATGTTCGTGTGAATGTGCAAGAGAGATTTCGCCATCTCTGCCGTGCTGATCGTAGCCTTATCGCGTAAAGGATAATTACTCGAACGTTCACAAACTAATTACTATAATTGTATTTAACGTACGGGACGAGTAATTAGTGCAAATACGACGTAAACTCGGCATTGCCTTTAATGTACGTTTAAGCCGCTCTATGTTTTGGTCCTCTCTCGTATCTCCGAAATTTTAGGGGACGGGAACCCCCGGCAGTCGTCGCACATTTTTACGGAAGGGAGTCTTTTCGTCGGCTAGGCCCGGTCGTGATGCATAGCCAAGTGAGATACAGAAATGTATAGTTTTCATTCCATAGTTATTGTAAGACAAGGCTGTAAGCTCACTGTAATAGAAATGTAATGTTTGTATAGTTGTGAGAGTCAACAAGTGAAACTTGGCTGGATATAAACACTGTTGGTAATACAGTAACACTTTATTATTGTGTGTAATATTATTCCTTTATTTTTGACATAATGTACAGTAGGTGCAATCAAGAAACTACACAATGGTTATATACAATAATAAATATTTTGGCACGTTCAACAAACCGGAACGTAAATTTACAGGTCGTCGCAATCGCACGCGGACGGATATTTTCCGTCGAACGTCTGCGATCGTACAAACTCCGTCTCTGCTCCGATCGATCAGTTTTTGCGAGCGTCGGCGCGGGCGTCGCGTCGTTTCCCGAGTACCCGTATCGGTACGGTGCGGCGGTTAGAAATTGGGTGCGGATTCTTCGCCAAGAAATAAGTTCAAACGACGGAAGGAAAGATCGCTCGCGAGGACGACGCGACACCGACGCGTACGGCGGGTCCGCGTTCTCGTCGCGACGAGCAGACGGGACGCTCGTGACGATTCGCGACGGCCGTCGCCGTCTGTGCGTCACGTCGACCGTAACGGAGATGTCGCGGCAGAAGAGCGCCAAAAATTATGAAACGACACTCGGGTTCGGCGGAATAATCGATACGGCAGATCGGCGAAAGACTCGCATCGTACCGGTATGGCAAAGGATGCGACGCTGGAGCCGACGGATAAAATACACGGCGCAGTCCGAGTACTGTGACAGGCTCGTGTTTTGTAAAGAAAACCTTTTAGTTTTGTGAACCGTAGTTAATCGGGAAAGTTCCTCGAGAGAGGGAGTCGCCGCAGACCAGTGGAAACGGCAGGTTCCCCGACCCGTCTCTCCTCGCCGAAGCGGGCATCCGACGCTCCGGCCCAATACGGCGAAACCTCCACACGACGGACCTCTCTCCACTCGATCCGCCGGATGGGGGCGTCGCACCTCGCGGACCCTCGACGCGACGGACCGATCTCTCCGCACGGTCTGTCGAGTGGAGGTCTCGCCGCGTCACGAGTACTTACCCACGCTCGAGTGCCATTTAAGAATTTGACTGCCGTACGGCTCGCCATCATTGCACGGGACGGCGCACGGTCGACGCCCGGACGGACGCGCGCGGTCCGTCGGACCGACGGAACGCGCCTCCCTCCTGTCGGTCGCGGGCTCGGCTTTCTCCCCGCGAGGTCGTATACAGTATACATTAATCCGAACGTCCGAACAAAAAATTGCTAACCGAAAGTTTTGGCCGTGCCAGAGACGCCCGATCGAGTCGACGAGAGCGCCGCACTCGAACGCACGTCGGCGCGAGTGGAACGATCCGTTTATATTTGTAACAATAAGAGAAATCGGGGATCGTCGGCGAGCCGGTCGAGGCACGACGGTGCCGTAGAAATCGACGATTCGGCACAATTTTACGTCTATGCGATTTTCCAAAATACCCAAATGGTTACTTTCGTAATGTTAAATTTAATGACATCTCTCTAACTCACTTTTAGAGTCATAGCTCTGTCTTTAATGTAAAGAAAAAATATGTCTGTACTCATCCAGTACTCTCGGTGTGGTAGCATTTAAGATAGTCCGGGGGCGCGTCCGCCCAGCCCGCGAATTAACGTAAGGCCGGCTTTTTTATTGCGATTGTGTATGACTAAGCTTGTCTCTACTCCAGTGTGGTAAAAATAAAATGTCTGCTATTGTATTTTGTTTTATAACCCTTTTGAGCATGATGGTTTAACCCTTTGTGAGGATAACAATTTAACTCTTTCATGGCAATTGTTGAAGCCTCTAAAGAGGACAGACACCCACACGCTCGTCCGACGACACGGACACACACACACACACGGGAAAGGCGATACAGACATACGACACGAACACGAACGTTGAAAAGGGGACAACTACAGAAGTACACAAATAACTATGTATTTTTGTGTATACTGTATCTAGCAAAAATACATAGAGATCCGACTGAATACCAAGTCCCAATCACAGGGTATCGACTCTCTAGGTGACACACACACACACACGTGCCGACGCCGAGACGACGACGGTATGTATTAATCTCGTTTCTGCGTATTCATCGGCTAACATTAAATTGTCGGAGAGAATCTAGGCAGGTTGCTCGTTAACCGAAACCACTGTTTCAATGGGTTTTTGGGTAATTGGTTCCAGCTCACTGAAAATTGCCTAAATTAACAAAAAAGGTAGAAAAGTACACTTACTTTGAGGTGTGTATGTAGAAGGCTCCTGGATGATGATGATGGGAATTAGAATGGGGGTGGAGGAGAAGGGAGAAGAGAAGTCACTCCATGGCACCATTTCGCCCATAAAATTTTAGTTCTCTTGGTGTAATTCAAGATTATTTTCTTTAAATCATTATATATTGTCAATATGTAAACTAAATTTCAAAATGACCAATAATTTGCTTGGAAACGCAGAAAAAAAGCATTTAGTTGAGTCTCTCAAGCAAAATGTTACCTCCACTGAAAACAGAGACTAACTCCTGTCTGGTGTGTTAACAGGTTGGATGGCATGCCAGAAACTAGTTTCTTTACCTTCAATTATGTTCAATAATTGTTAAAATGACTAAAAATTTTAATATTAAACTTAAAATTATTGAATTGTATAAACTTCTTCATATTTACTAAAATAGTAAGGAATTTAAGCCCTAAAACCAATTACTGTATTGGCGGATTAATACTACAGCCGGCGGACCGCCAAATGCGAGCGAAAACGTGTCGAAGTCGGCTCGTAAAAAACTCGTCAATCGAGGGATTGCTCGTTAACCGAAGTTAAGAATCTCACGGAAGGTAAATCGTTAACCGAGGGATTGCCGTATAAAAAATAATAATGACATACGTTGTAATAATGCTCGTTCGACTTGTTTTATCACAGAATAACGAAGAAAATGTTTTGTCGCCATAATAAGCGGCTCGAGTGTTTGTATTTGTCTCGGTGCGGAAGAGACGCATCTTTTGTCTTCTTACAAATTGTAAAGTATTTTTTACCAAAACAGGTTTGTATCGTTCACACTTAGGGTAAAAATATATTTTATGACCGAGTAAACTTGCAGATAGATCTCATTAATGTCGTATAGCCGTAAATATCCCTCGGTAACGAAAGCCAAATGTGAGGTCGAGTAACATTCCTGCCAAGACTTTGCCTTGTTTTTGTAATATTTAACCAATAGCCTTAGCCTCTTTTCTCATGTATATGGCGTATGATAACATGAAAGGCTATAAATTTCCATAGGCTAGCCAAAAATAAATGATATTAGGCGTAAAATATGGATTGCAATTAACTCGATTAATAGGGGCCTGTGGGGTATGGGATATTTGGTTCAAACTCAGGATGGGTTGGAGAAAGAAAACTCACAATGTGCTCACTATATACATGTTGTATTGGATGTACAATGCAGCTTGGTGCTGGGAAGGCAGCACGTTTACGAGCATGATGTAGAGAGAGCCGGTCGGTGAGGACGCTCAGAGAAGGACAGCTCGTGGGTCACCAAGCTCGCCGGCGGGGGAGAGGACCGCCAGGCAGGAGGAGGAGGAGTGAGGGCCGCCAGGCAGCGGTGGAGGAGGTGTTGCTGGCCGGTCTGTGTGGGTAGAAAGAGGTCAGGTCTTAAATAGCAGGGATTGGCGTGGCTCAGTAGTTGACCCCCGCTCCGTGGTGTATGGCGGCGCTGGTTGACCTAGACCACGAGGCATACACTGGGGAATTGGTGGGGTCAGCTAGGCAGCGACAAACAGCGTTTGTAGGGGAGAATTCCACTACAGGCCCATATAACAGCTCTTTCAGTCTTCAGCAAATAAATGTTTAAAAGAATGTCCATGCTACCAAAAGAATAGGTGACAGAACTGAGTACGAGTAAGAACCAAGAGAAGTAAGTAAGTATGAGGGTGGTGTAGATAGTGTGGAAACACGCGCCCTCACAACACGTCCCAAATTTTCAAGAGACTCGACAGAAAAGAATATATTATTAGTTATTACAGAGAGATGAATCTTTGCATTAATCATGAATTTCAAGGAGTAGCTAGCCTAATTTCTATCACGCTTCTTGCTGAACTTAGTTTTACGTGATGGAATAGATAAACATGAATTTTAAAGAATGAAAATAAAAATAATCCAAATGAATAAAGAAATCAATAAAATATTGTAATATGTGGAGGCCCCTGGGCAGCTGCCCACCCCTGAATCCGGCCCTGTCAACATCACTCACAAAGGATCTTGTATGCTTTAAATGTAATCGAGCCTATTTAAGTTGACTGAAAACAAGGGTGTTGTCTGTAACATTCCAATTCATTATATAGAGGGGTTGGTTTCACTAAGTTAGAGAAAATGGGATAACGGAGGACTGAGGCGTCTTGAGAAAACGGACTCGTCAGATGAAGGACTCAAACGAAGGCAGCGTTACATGTTTTGTGGGCGTAATATGACTCGTCTGATTTTGGCGTTAACTGACGTGTATGACCGTGGTCATTACATCATGGCGTGGGTGTGTAACAAAGCAGGGATAGGACACACACATGTAGTTTTGTCTCATTTATTTACTGTAGAAATCACCCGAGAAGGAAAAGGCTGGGACCTAGATCAGACATAACTAGTTATTATACTTACAAAACAAGCATCAACCGTTGTCATATTTGTACCACACAGTCGTAGGAATTAAACACTAAATAATAAAACCAACCCACAGTGTAACACAGGGGGTGGTGTAGACTCACTCCAGGGTGAATGTCTGGAGAGCAATGCTAGAATTAGCCTTATTCTGGCTTACAGACTACCTACACGAGATCATCACATTGTTTATATAACATTTATTATGCTCAATCTATCAAACACACACTAACAGAGCAAGACACACCTGCTACTGGGCCCCCGGGATGTAAACAACGGCATGGCGTCTCTCCCCCCATATTCGTTCTAGGGCGGATTCACAAAACATATTGACGTTTTCCTCCTCGAAGCTTACAATAATACATATCCATATCAATAATATTGTAAGTCACCAAATAGTTGTCTCTGGAGTTTCTCATACGACAGGTATACAAGATATTCGCTTTGAATCACTTGACATAGTTCGGACACCTTTATCCAGATGATCTTTCTCACTTATTTTCTTACGATATCTGCGGAAGTTACGTTCGCTAAACGTTAACAGACGTAAATAGTACTGTAGTGGATTACTCCCCTATAAACGGTGTTTGTCGCCGACCCAGTGTATGCCTCGTGTTTTAGGTCAACCAGCGCCGTCTTACATGACGGAGGTCAACTATTAAGCCACGCCTACCTCCGCTATATAAGACGTGATCTCGTGGTGACCTATCTCTATTTTCTAGGTACAGACAGTAACACCACCTTCTCCGCTCCTGCCTGGCGGCCCACAACCTAGTCCTCCTCTGAGCATCCTCACTTGTAACCACGCTGCCACTTCCCAGCACCAAGCTGCACTGTGCATCCAATACAATGTGTATACAGAGAGTGAGTTTCCTTTGTTCATCCCATCCAGAGTGTGAACCAAATAACCCGTAACCCACATTACAACCTTGAAACCACGATGTACATGTAGTCCTAAATTACACTATTCCGGATCAACTGGAGTTTCCCAATCATCTTATAGATACTTCGAGTTGCCCTTAATGCTACGAGTTGATACAATTAATATTATATGCTCGTAGTTGGGTACAATTCATTCAATAATTCAGTAACATTGAGTAGTAGGTGAGTTACTCTGTAGTGGCTCCTCTCCCCTACAACTCCCAACTGAGCTCCGGCCGCGCGCCTACCAGCGTACAGCACACAAGACAAGACAAAAAAGCTAGTGACGGGGGGGAAAGAGGTTCAGGGGGAGGATAGAAGTGAATTGTAGAAGGAGAGAACAGGTGCAGTGGCTAAACAGCGCTTGCGTGAGGGGGTAGGCAATGTGCCCGGTAGGTGTAACAATCACAACCAGGACGAGGCAGAGGGAGGGCGGGAGCAGGACCGGGCAAGCAAAGGGCCAACGCGGAGGAAGAACCGCCCCGCCACGGCGACGGCGCAAGCATGCCCTCAATAAAAATTAGAGTAGACCGCACCCTCCAACTATGCTGAGACCTGGCCTCACTCATCTTGCAGCTGACCTTGATTTCTCGTACAGCCAGCTATGCCGAGAGACTATAGGTCTATGCAGAGGACGTAGGGGTACGATCGCCGACCGAGTCTCGACCATCAACTTCCGGTTCAGGATCAGAGCCTTTCACACCTTACGCCTAAGCCGCTGTGATTGGCCCTCTCGCTACGCTCACCCCAAATCGTGAACCTCGTAAATTGTATAAATACGGCCATGCCTGGCCAGGGAGACCATTCTACACTCGGCTACCGGACCAGCAGCACCTCTCACAGCTCCACACCACCCAGCTTCCTCAGAAACGTCTTCGCCCTACAGGACCTCTGAGCAAGTTTCTCCTCACCTAGTCACTCCTAAGCACTGCGCTGTACAACAATATATATACAGAAAGCGCATTGTGAGTTTGTATCCTACCTCATTCCTGAGTGTGAGATATCTACATGTACGTACGTTTGTGTGCCCATACAGTACGCTACAACTCCTTATCAATGTTTCCCATTTTGTGAGATTGCACAAGCGCGGTGGATTTGAACGTTATATCGCGTAATATGAATTCGAGTGGGTTTTTAGGAATGATTATGACGTGCGCAG